TGGGGCTGCTGCAGCGGAAGGAGCTTCGTTTCATCTCTGATACCCTATATTCTCTGTGCAGCTTAGTGCATTAGTGTTTGTGAAACACTCAATGTCTCACACTGTTTTATGGGAATTAAATGGGGAATTTCTGGTTTAGGGCTGGGACAGTGAAGGAAAGAGATTCAGGACAAAAATACAAACTCTTTGGTAGCTCTCTTCTTCTAATGAGTGGCCCACGATTTTTCTGGCCTGTGTAAGTGGACACACAGTGTTTGTGCAAGCATGGCCCCAGCTGTCTGTCACTGATTCCCATATAGTGGAAGATTTGCCAAGCACCGTGTTAGGATGTGACATTGACCACAACAGACAGGAGATGGTGGTGCTCACTAGGTCACACCAATGGCCTGTCTGCTCCTTCCCCAGGCTCCCATGGGATTTACTGTACACACTGTGCCTCCTGGAACAAGGGAAGGAATAGGGGGAGTCTGGCAGGGAGTAGTCCTGGCATTAGTAAAGCTCTGCTTTATCCCCTAGCCTCCTGTCCACTCTGCATGCTTTGGGGGACGGGTGTGCAGCAGGAGAAGGCTTTACAGGCACGAGCTGAAGATCGAACTGCAGCACGTGCATGGGAAAGGGCAGGATAAAGTTGCCATCTTAGTTAAGTGCTTGCCTCAAAGCACTATCTGCTTCTGCTACACTTGGCTTCTCTTAAGCGTAAAGGTAATAGAAATGTAGCAGGCTTGGTTTAGTCACTCTCCAGCTTTGGGAATTTGAGTAAGAAAAGCAGGATTCATTTTTCTGCACAATGGTCATGTTTGATAGAGGTATTCATATAGTTCATACAGAGCTTTTAACTAGATTTTTAAACTGGATTCAAATATTAATGCAGTGGGGAAAAAGGTGCCATTGTCTTTAGTTAGATGATAGTCAACTTCTTAATGATTTCTGCTTCTCTTGAATAGTCGTATTTGGATAATTTTTTATCCGAGTCTGATAAATGAGCCACAGAACCTGTGAGGGCAGCTATTTACAACTGCACCTTGTGATTTTTGCTCAATGTTCCCATGTATTGATGTGTATTTGCTATATATGTTAGTAATTCCATTTAGTCCTGTGGAATGGTGAGATCCTGAGGGAAGGCTCACATTCAGGTATGTACAGAATTCACATATCCAGGAGGATGAACAGCTGAGTGCTCCATCATGTTACTTTTCTCAGAATTGGATTAAACCCATTCTTTACCTGAAGCATTTGAGGTATAATCTCTCTGATTTGCAGTACAGGGTAGTTGATTTGGTATCTCTAAAAGCAGAACTGAAACATTTTGCAGTTTCACAGCTGTGTTTATAGACACGAATGCAGTACAGGTTGCTAGCATCATTTTTTTACCATTGCTGTCAAAATTGGTGTATTTGAATGCATTAATCCTACCAGTTAGGATTAAGGTAGATTTCTCCAAGTCCAGTAACTCGACATTCCCTGTCCATAGTTTATGTTTAATGACAATAGTTTGAGAAATTGTCAGCTGACTAAACTCAAATTACCTCACTGGAAAGATACGTTATGTTTAATCTTGTAACACTCATGATGGTGATTATGGTTATAACTGGATTCACTTTGGGGTTTTTCACCCCATAGTCGTCTTTTTTCTGGAGTCCATCTTAGTACCCACATAGCAAATGGCATGAACTGGCCTTTCTGTGGTATTCTTTATACTCCATTGTGGATCTGACATGTGCCTGTTTCCTTCTTCTCACCCAGGGTCGATCCTGAAGAAACTTTTGCACACTGGGAATTCTCTCAAGGTATTTCTCTGTGATGATGCATTGTCAGTGCTCTGCACTTGGATTCCTAGGAGGCATATTACTGGACAGTTTTGCAGCATCGGTTGTTTTCAGCTTGGTGGGCTTCATAATGTTACTTATTCACCTTTTAACCACAAATCTGATTATTGTAATCCTAGTTTATTTTAATATTTATCACCAGTCATTTTGCTGTTCATTTCTTACCTATTTCACTGTGTTACTGCTCTTACAAATTTGTTTTAATATCTTTTTCTACAACATCATTCCCTTGTAGATAAGATGTGAAGGAATCCGCCTGTTTCTTCTCTGGCTTCAAGCGCTTCAGACTAACTGTGGGGAAGAGCAGATATTAATATTTGCATGCCTCGTGCCTGGCTTTCCACCCCTTACCTCCTCCCGGGGTCCCTGTACACTGGATAACCTCATTAGTCCTCTGAATTCACCAGATGGTGAGTAAATGAACACCATTTCCATGAGGGATGCATTGCCTCCCCTGCCACTGGGGCCAGGGTGGAGCTGCAGAGCTTCTTGTGGGGAAGATGTTACATGGCTCATGCTGTTTCTTTGTGGTTCAGAGATGGACTGAGTTTGCCAAGCTGTTGTATTCCCTGCAGCTGCACAGCCTTCTGGTCTTGTCATTCTCAGTGCAGAACATTGGTTTGTTGGTTGGTTTTGGGGGGAGTTTTGTTAGTTTGTGTTTCTAATGGAGCTGCAGCTCTATGAACATGCCACTGCAGAACGAGTAGGTGTGGAAATGTGTAGCTTCTTGGTTAATCATAGAATCATAGAATAGTTAGGGTTGGAAAGGACCTTAAGATCATCTAGTTCCAACCCCCCTGCCATGAGCAGGGACACCACACACTAAACTATGCCACCCAAGGCTCTGTCCAGCCTGGCCTTGAACACCTCCAGGGTTGGAGCATTCACAACTTCCTTGGGCAACCTATTCCAGCGCCTCACCACCCTCACTGTGAAGAACTTCTTCCTTATATCTAATTTAAAGTTCCCCTCTTTAAGTTCTGAAGTGGCTGCTTGTGTTAACCCCCAAAACTGCTATGAGACTGAGGCTGGTGCCACCCTTGATTCTCTGTGGTAGGGCCTGGGGAAACATGGGAAGTCCAAGTGGTTAGTGGCCTTTGTAGAACTTAGGAGTGCATTAATGGTTATCTTCAGATTAATCTTTTTATAGAAAAATACATTTTTTTTTTTTTTTAAATTATTTTGGGGGTTTCTCTGCTTAAACCAGTTTCTTTTATTTTAGTCAAGATTTCTCCAGAAGAAATAACCCCACTGGTGCCTGCGGTCTCTGGAGAGAAAATTGCTGAAGACCAAACCTGCTATTTTCTTCAGCTGCTGTTAAAGTACATGGTGATTCAGGTGTGGAGGATACATGGTTTTAACTATTCATATTTGTACTTGTGGTAGGAAGTTCTGTCTATGCTGTACCTGCACGGAGCTGGTTGTGCCCCTTTGCAGGAAGATGCTGTTTTCTGCACTTCCTTGCTCTTGTTTTTCAAAGGAAAATCATCCCAAAGGTATTTCCTTGGGCTATTTTGGTTAAAATAAAAAGTTTTCCACAGTTGTGACAAGAATTGCTGAATGTTACCCAAACTGGCAGGATAACTGACTGCTTTGTGTGCTTGTGGTTGCATGTAGAAAATTGATCTGGGGTAAAGATGCAGTTTGTTCTCTTTGGCCACATTACAGAGCTGAGAAGACTATTTTACTTTGTTTGTTTGTTTGTTTCTCTCTAACTCCATGACAAAGGCTGCAAGCTTAGAGTGGAAGAATAAGGAGAACCAAGACACTGGGTTTAAGTTTCTCTTTACCTTGTTTAGAAAATACTACCTTCCTCACTTGTTCCCATCGTTCACAAAGCTGACCAACCTCTACAAACCTGTTCTGGGTGAGTAGTGAATTCTGTCCTGTGAGTAGAGAAAGAAGTAACAGTCACTGTTCTCAGTAGCATCTCTGTTCCCTGCCTCATATCACCACAGTTCTGCTGAATGAGGAGTTTTCCTCCCTCGTCTCACAATTTGATGTTTTTCTGGCATATTTTGGTGTGCTAGCAAATGTTTGATTTTCTGAGGTAGTCCAGGAAGCTGCTGCTGCTCAGGCTGCATAAGGGCATCTCCACAGACATAGCATTTACATGGAGTGAGTGAGGACTCTGTAACTGTGGGGTGCAATGACAGAACATGCTGATGGGTTTGTTAAAGAACCAGCAAGCTGCCCCAGGCTGAGGGAGCTGCTAACTTAGTTACTCTCAATTTACTGCTTGTTTCCTTGAAGAGAAAATGAGCAGGAAGGGCCAAATGAAAGGAGGTAAGATGTACATCTACAGTTGCGGGATTAAAAGCATGTTAATTCAGAAACTCTCACATTTTTTCGAATTTTCTACTGAATTATGTATTGGAGTCAATAGGAGCAGTGCTGTTAATCCTCACTTGATGTACTGCAGCCTCTTCATCATCCTTCCCCCCTCCTCTGACTTTTAAGTCCTGTCCTTTGCAGTTTAATAGTGTCTGAGCTCACTTCGGTGCCATCTGGGCTCTGTTCACAGCTCAAGCCCAGCCCTTCCATGTTTTTGAGCAGTGTACCAGTGACTTTTCCCTAAATCTAAGCATCTGAGTGAATTGTGACCCAACCTGTCTCCCTTCAGCAACCTTCCACTTCTTCCCATGTGTTTTCCTTCTTTTATTTCAGCTTGTGCAATGCTTTTTGCACCAAATGTCCTTTTTCTTCTCAATCTTTGCACTGTGGAGTGTTCCAGAACCATCATTTCTTTCTCACTGTACTTCAATAATAAAACTCTGTGAAACTTATGACATTAACTTACATTGTAGTAGTAGTTCTTTTTTTCAGGTTTTGCCCTTCTCATTTGCTTTCCTTTGTTTTGCATGATACAAATTACAACCTTCAGGGAAAACCTCTGCTTTTATGTTCTGGCTTTTCTTTAGGAGTAACAAAATTCTGACAATGTAAGCATTAATGTAATAAAAGCAGTCAGTCATTGCATCTGTTAGTTCATATGGAGAAGACGTTGGTGACATGTTCAGTACATTTAACCACAGTCTGGAAGCAATTACAGTTTTTTGAGAGGAGTTTTTCTTTCTATCTTCTCTTTTTATCTCACCAGATATTCCTGATGTAAGACCAAGGCCAGTGTACATCCCTGCAACCCGGAACAATGAGAGTGTCTATAGCACCAAGATCCCCTACATGGCAGCTCGAGTTGTTTTCATTAAGTGGCTTGTTACCTTCTTCCTTGAGAAGAAATACTTACCTGCTGTTCAGAGTGCGAAAAATGGAGGAGAAATGCTCCCTAAAATCATTCAGGTGTGCTTTGAAGTTTCTCTTATGTTTCCCTTATGTCCATGCTGACTTGGCGCATGATCACAGTGCTCTGACAGTGGGATCAGGGAAGAAATGCTACCCCTGAGTGAATAAATTATATATTTGATTATTTTTACTTTGATGAAGGAGGGAATCTCCAAGGGAAACCCTTCAGGAATCCACTGGAAGTTTGTGGTTTTCCTCTCATGGCTGTTTGCCTCCCCAGCACCATCAGTATTATGTTCAGACCTTTGGAATTCAGTCTGTAAACTATCATTTGTGGCATGGACCATTTCCCAGCACATCAAAGGCCTCTTTGTTTCCCTCTCAGTACAGCAGCTGTGTACAACGAGTTATTAGAAAAATATTTCACTTTTGGGTTGCTGGTTGGGACTTCCTCAGGATTAGGGACTCTGCAAGGACTCTTGTAGGAATAGGTGTGTTTCTCTTAAGAGACTCCTGTTAAAAATCTAGGATCAGTGTCAACTTCTGTTCTCTTGAATCATAGGTGAGTGTCAGGTCTGGCTCCAGGGGGAAGGTTTGCAGTAACTGTTGTGGTAGAACTGAGTATTTTCATGTTAATTGGTTTGGGAGTTCTTTTCTGTAGAAGTTGAAAGCTCTGAACCAGTAACTGAAGGTGCTTTTTTTTAATTGACCTTTTCTTTCTCACTGGAAATGCCACCTTTTCAACTGCTGTGCACCAACAGGCAGAGCCTGGAGAAGGAGTGTTTTTTCCTTTTACTGAATTTTATAGACAGCTGACACACAAATTCAGGTTGCATAAAGGTATTGCTGCCCTCAGGATGGAAGTTGCTCCAGTTGGAAGTTAGTGCTCGGCTGCAGGTGTGTGCCAGCCTTTGGCACACATTGACCTCTTTGTGGCTCTGAATTCACTGGCTGCAGCCTGGGCCTTGCTGGTGAGGCTGAATCTCACCCAGAACTTCTTTGTGAAAGGCAGTAGAGGTGTTACTGCTGCTCTGTTGCTGCTCACTTGGCTGAACAGAGGGCAGCCTTACTAACATGAACAGAAAGCAGACCTGCATTTGGATGGTGCTTTGTGTCAGTGTAAACTGGGATTATTCTTCTGGTAACTCAGAAGCAGTTTTTAGTCCTCTGCCTTCTGGCAGCATCACTTCAGCCTAACTCAGTTCAGGATGTTGCAAAATACATGGAATTGTGAACAAAACCTGACCAAGACGTGTCGGGAATAACAATGTGTGAGAGTATGAGCCATGTATAGTGATATGATCCATCCTTTCCCAAAACCAAGGGGACTTGGGGGTTACTCTCCCCTGTGTTTGTGCCTTCTCCACTCCCTCTACCACACCTTTCCCTCATTTTTGCTTTATAGCCTGGAAAAGGCAGTTGCTGTTCTGGGCTGGGGGGCCCATACGAATTGTGCATCATCTAGAGGGTAGGACCAGTCTCCTTCGTGGATGAAGCAGTAGACTGAAAATTACACTTCACAAGTGTCGGGATGCCAGTGTGTTGTGTGACACAGAGCACAAGCATCCCGAGCCCTGTGAAGTGTGCCAGGTTGTTGGTGGATGCTGCTTCACTCAGTTAGGTGTGTGTTCTCCTCTGCCCAGACTGTTGGTGGTGCAAGCCAAGATAAACCCGCGGAGCTGGACACGGGCACATCCCACGCCGGCGAGCAGGAGCGGAGCCACTCCAGCAGCAGCAGTCTGTCTGACAGGAGGCTCAGCAGCTCCAGCCTCTGCAGCGTGGAGGAGCAGCACCGCCCCGTCTACGACATGGTGCAGAGGATCCTCTTGTCCACCCGGGGCTACGTGAACTTTGTGAACGAGGTGTTCCGGCAGGTCAGTGCGTGTGTGCAGTGCCTCTTGTGTGCGTTCCCTGTGGGAAACGTCGTGGTTATGGGGCTGAGCACAGCAAAGGCTGGTGGGCAGGTAACTGCCCAAACTGGATCTAACGCACCAGCACCCTTTAGCTTGGAGTCCTTCCTAGGGCTAGCTTTAATCACAGCACTGTGAAACACTTAGGGGAGCTGCAGGTTGTTGCTGGTGCCAGGCAGCAACGTGTCATATTTGAATGGGCCACTTTAGTTGTTCTTGGTATTGTGATGTAATTTAAAGGTGTGTAAAAAGCCATTAGCTTACGAGTTTATTGTTTGAATTAGTAAGATTCTTGTTCCTGTGATCAACATCAGTCTTTAATGTCTGAATATTGATTTCTTCTACTAGTGTTTGTCATTAACTTGACATATTTTCAGGCACTGGGGATGCACATACATGTGGCCCTGCTGGAGAGTCCCAGTTTTCTGTTCATTGGGTTGGTTTTTTGTTTGGTGGTTATGTTTGTTTGTTTTGAGTTTTGGTTCATTGGGTTTTGCTTTGGTTTGACATTTTTTTGTTTCTTGTTGGGGTTTTTTTTGTTTTGCTGTTGTTTTTTCTGGAACCAAGGTAGAAATCGGCTAAAGCAGCAGTTCTAGGTCACTCAAAGGTGTACAAGCTGCTCTGCAGCAGGGGGGTGAGCATCGTACACATGCTTCACTGCAAAGTGCCTTGTGCGGCACAGATTAGGAACCCTTGTATGGGTTTAGGAGCCTGTCTTTGTGCTTTTCAGTGGGTGGCTGGCACTGGGGCGGGAGGGAGCACTGGGGCCCGAGGCAGCACTTGCGTGGTTACGTGGCGCTGTGGCGTGCTGCCCTCTCCTGGTGTGTGTTCGCAGCATGTGAGGTTGGACCCGCTGCAGGGAACAAAGGCTCCGCGATGCCTCTGTTCGGTATGATCAGTGTTCATGAGCTGAAACAGATAATGGTGTTTGGATCCGCTTTGTGTTTACCGCTCCCTTACAGGAAGTTCACTCGGCACTGTCAGTTCCTTCTTTCCTTCTCCTGCTTTCCTTTTCCTTCCTTCTCTTTTTTTCTTTTCCTTTCTACCCCACTTCTTTGCCTTTCTGAAAGCATTCTGTGTAGTGCCCATTCCTCCTGATGGTGAGCTCTTGTTTCTCTACTACTGTAGCAGTTGGCTTTGGCTCTTCCAGGTTCTGTGTCCTTCATAAGTTGATGGTGTTTGTGGAGACATGTTCAGTAATTTCACATACTTGCTGTATGGCACATTTGAACTTGCCTTTGCTATAACCCTTCCATTTCTGTTGAACCAGCTGCTGGCTGTTGCACTTCCTGCTGGATAGAGACAAGGAAGTGTGTGATGTGATTTCTCTTGACCTGAGCAATGAGTTTGCAGCCAGACTGGGAGTAGGAGGTGCTACAGCTTTTGGCCCTGGTGATCATGGAGAGTGGGTCACCTTTTCAGAGTTGAAAAGACCCATTTTTTAGTATGAAAAATATGTTTTCCTCTCTTTCAGTGTTTTTATAACATCATGCATATTGAGATCAACATTTTTTTGTTGGCAGAATGTGCTTTTTTAGTATGAGATGACATTTTCAGGCGTTGATTTCTGTGCCTGTTCACTGCAGTGCAGAGGTCTGTCACTGTATTGTTTCCAGTCTCCTAAGGCCTGCAGGCATGTGGGGAAGCAGCCAGTGCAGCCTTTGGGAGCTTTGGGAGAGGCTGTCTGTACAGAATGACTCCCAAACACTGATACTGAGCAGCATGCTGGGAACAAGTGCACTGTGTTGATTTGCAAAGCTGCAGTGAGAAGGGATCGAGTGCCAGCTGCTGTTACCCCCGTCACACCTTGCTGCCTTGTCTTATCTCTACATGCACCTCCTGAGGAGGCACTTCACGTCACACACTGCTGATGTGATTGCAGCCCTCCTCTTCTGGAGGTGCAGAGCAGTTCCCAGCCTTTGCCTGCCAGAGCTCTGGGGCTGGTAATGGCTTGTGGGGTGAATCCAGGTGAAGTCAGAGACCTTGCACAGAGCAACAGCCACCACTTCGGGTTGTCCCAGCAAATGCAGCGTGGAAGTAGCTTGGAATTGTGAATGATGTAGGTACATGCACGGGCTGTTGGTTAATTGTAACTCCTCCTAGTACAGACATAAGGATAGGAATTATGTGTCCTTTCTCTTGAGCTGTATTGGTGATGGTGGTGGTTGTGGGTGTGTTCATGTGTGCATGCCCTTCTGTGGCCTAGATATAGTAAAATGAGTTAACTTTCCAATTCAGGCTTTTCTTTTGCCACCTTGTGATGTATCTGCGACACGGAAAGTGGTGAAGGTGTATCAGAAGTGGATACTGCAGGAGAAGCCGGTGTTCATGGAGGAGCCAGACAAGAAGGACGATGGGCAGGATGCTGTTGACAACCTAGAAGATTCCTCAGTGCAGATGGATGGTAAACATGTATGGCATCAGTGTTACCTCCTCCATCCTGTCACCTGCAGCATGTGACTGAAGTTTAAACTCTCAGTGTAAATGAGTAACAACTTAAAATTGTGTGGGAAATCAACATTAAAATAGGCGTCTATTTAGGGACTCAACTACTGAGTGTTCAGCAGCACTTGCAGAGTGCAGGGAGAGGTTGCAGCTGTATTGAAATACATAGTTTGTTGGTTACTCCCTGCCTGCACAAATGTGGCCGCAAGAACTGAATGGAACAAATACTGATGGGTTCTGCAGTGTTAACATTCGCGCTGTGTGTTGGCCTCGTGCATGTAGGACTATTTCCTTTTGGTGGCAGGTACTTCAGAATTTGACAATATGTACTGATTTGTATATACTGGGTGAAATACTTGGATTAATCTAGGAAATCAAAGTGTAGATACAAATTCTGTGCATCATTTTAATATCCTACACTGAACCATCAGTAAAAGTTGACTTTGACAGTACTGACACTATGAAGCTCTTTAAAAGGAAGCTTTGTTGTACTTAGGAAGAAGTTTGAGTTGTAAAAACACAGTGAGAATTACAAGGTTTTGATGGATTTTTTTTTGTAGAGAACTTATAGCTGTGCCATGCTTAAATGCAAATATTACTACAGTCAGTAACTACAAAATGTGATGTAAAATATTTCAAATAACATAGCCTTCAAACTTTTATGAACCTTTAAATTCCTCATACAGTCTGTTTGTCATAGATTAAGCAACAATAGACATGCCTTCCTTGCTGAAATGAAGAGTAGGACATGACAGGTGCCCTTTTTGCCGCTGACAGTTTAAATGCTTTAGGTTAAATGTGGGCACACTCCTTCCTGCTCTGTCACTAACCCAGTCTGTGTTTGACAGCTCTCCTCTGAGCATTCGGGACACAAGCGCTCCTCCAGCTGGGGCAGGACGTACTCCTTCACCAGTGCTGTTAGCAGGGGATGTGTGCTGGAAGAGGAGGACAGAAATGTTAAAGCTGGTGCTCAAGCAGCATTACAGGTGTGGTGTGCAGCAGGGGAACAGGGCTGTAACTGAATCACGTAACCTCATCACTTCATCATTTAACCTAATCATGTAACTCACACTGCAAGCTATAATACAGTCTCTGAAATTAAGGAAAACAACTACCAGCAGTTGATGGGCTTTGTAAGATAGGATTTGCACTTCATTTATAACTTTTTATAATGTGTGTTAAGGCCTGGGACCATGCCTTGCAGTCAGATAGATATATTTTGTGACAGAAGGTTCATGTTTCTCTGCTGTGGGTACTGGGAATCAATTAGAACTGTACACTTCCTCTCATCAAGCCTCATTTATGGGGAATACTGGTGGCTGCTCAGGCATGCAATGCCAGGGAACGAGTAGCTGGAGGAAAGGTGCTCTTGCCTCAGCACGCAGCAGAGGTACTCACCAAACCCACAGCGCCTTTGCTGGGTCTGTAATGCCACCCGAGTTGTTGCTGGAATGATGCAGAAAACAAAGTGATAGGTAAAACATGAAACCTGCTCTAAGGAAAGTGAAAGGTTTGGCTGGAGGAGGACAAGGGTTTTAGTGTAAGACTTGACTTTCTTTATTCCTGACACCACATAATCTGACTGTCATTGCTTGTCTTGAAGGTATTCCTGACAAATTCAGCGAATGTTTTCTTGCTGGAACCCTGCCCTGAAGTGCCTGTGCTGCTGAAGGAGCAGGTGGATGCTTGCAAAGCCGTTCTGAGCATCTTTAGGCGCATGATAATGGAGCTATCTATGAATAAAAAGACATGGTAAACTTAATACGTTCTGCATAGTTTAAGAGGAAATTATGAACATTGAAGTTTTATGGGAGAACTATTGGGTAGGGAACAGACTGGCTTTCTCAGGGACAGACCTTCCTGTGTAAGTTACCCTGGTGACTTGCCTTGGAATGGATCTGTGAGATTGCAGGTTCTGCTGAGACCACGTTATTGTGTGATTTGGCACGTGGGTTCTGGCTGGTGTTGCCGTTCCTGATTGCATCTCAGAAATGAGTTTTTACTGTCCACAGCCGACTAATGTTGTTTTGCAAATGATCTGTGAAGTCTGAAGTGTGATCCCGTTAGAAGTCAGGCTCAATGGAGAATTAAGAGGGGTTTTTGGTACATGAAAATTAACGAGTACAATTAATAGAACATGTGAACAAAAAATGCAATTTTGTTTTGGCTCCAGGGAGCAGATGTTACAGATACTCCTTAGAATAACAGAAGCTGTGATGCAGAAGCCAAAGGAAAACCAGATCAAGGATGCATTTGCTCAAAGCATGTCGGGATTGCTTTTCCGAGTGAGTGACTGGGGTTGGTTGGTTTATATGGGAATTTATTTTGGTTCTCCATGATGATTACCCATAGTTTTAGTTAAATACTATTGCGTAGTGCTGTGAAACCTACCTGTAAACCATGAAGAGATTCTTCTTTGCAGCACTACAAGGAATTCTTTAGTTAGCTGCTCCCTAACAGAGGGAGACAGGTTGATTTGATCTGTTCCTCAGGGCTCTGTGACAAACACTGGTAGAACAGGCAGGCACCCAGTCTCTGTGTGGGTTCCTTCATTGAGTATCTCTAATGTGTAAGCTTGATGTAGCTAAGTCCAGCTGGTACATCAGAACTGAGGCACATTGAGTGACATGAAAACATTTATACATCCTATTGTACTTCATGTGCTCAGGTACAGTGTCCAGGCCTGAGTGCCACAGGCATAGCATAGTCACTGCAATCACTCTGTAGGTGTAGGAGGCAATTCTTCATTATTATTATTATTATCATTATTATTATCATCATTATAATTACTACTATTACTGTTAGTCACAGCACATTATTTCAGTTTACCAGGGAACATACAGACCACCTGAAACATATGTTTGGGAATGTTTAGATTTCCTTAGTGAACAACTTTCACAATTATTTATCCCCTGATGTCTGGGGCTGTTTTTTTGATGACAAGTACTACCTGTGCATCATGAATACTCAGTGCTAATGTGCAGGTTGGCGCTGACTTCATCAACATGGGTCGGGGTTGGTGTGCTGGGTTCATCTCAGCAGCAGTGCATGAGCTGTCACTTGTTTCTGTCTCTCAGACCCTCATTGTGGCATGGATCAGAGCCAACCTGAGCGTGTACATCTCCCGGGAGCTGTGGGATGAGCTGCTCGGTGTTCTCTCCTCCCTGACTGACTGGGAGGAGCTCATCACTGAGTGGGCCAACATCATGGACTCTCTGACAGCCGTGCTGGCCAGAACTGTCTATGGGGTGGAGATGACAAACTTGCCCTTGGATAAGCTCAGTGAACAGAAAGAAAAAAAACAGAGAGGGAAAGGTTGGTCAGTGCTTCAGTGCCTTTTGTAGCCAACAAGTTAAATATTTAAGATTAATCTCAAAAATTAATTTAATTTGATCTAACATTAGATACTACTTGATCTAGTGTAAGAACCTGTTTAATCAAATGTGAAGTGCTTTGGATTTGTGTATTCTCATCCTCCACTGTGGAAGGAAAGGTAATTGGGGTCAATAGAAGAAGCAGGTTTTAAAATCAGCACTTAAAATCAGTCTTTGCTGGATAGTGGCAGTGAAACATGGTTTCCAGTGCTGTAGTCTGGCCTAGTCAGCAATGCAGGAATTCTTTTCCATGACTTTTTATTAAACTTTAATAAAGTATTTTAGCTGCATTTATGTGCCACTTGAGATTGATGCATGTAGTTGAAGCAGTGATTGTTTTTTATTGATAGTACAAGTTCACCTGTGTTGTTTCAAAGATGAATGTTTTTCATGCCTGAGTACTTGTAAGCCCATTCATACTTAGCAGAAACACGTGCCAAAGCATACAATGACTGAGAATTTTGCTTTCTTTCTCTCTAAGGTGGCATTTTGGAGCCTCAGAAGACAGCTGTAGTGGGAAGATCTTTCTCATTAAGCTGGAAAAGCCATCCTGAAGTTGTGGAGCCAATGAGATTCAGAAGTGCCACAACCTCTGGAGCCCCAGGGGTTGAGAAGGCAAGAAATATTGTTCGTCAGAGAGCAACAGGTTAGACATAAAAACTAAATATTGTGTCCTCAAACAGTCATGTTTTAAATCTGCCTTTGAGTCGTGGCTGCTTCCAAAAGTAGTGCAACTCATAGTTGAATGCCTGAGCAGAGATGCTGTGTACCTGTGGCTGGGTGTCCTGACCTCTGCCAGTGTGAATAGATAATCCAAGTATTTTGGAAGAGTCTGAATAGATGCTTTGAAGTACTTTACGTTTAATTGCAAGTTAGTCCTGTGCACACTATGGTTTTATGTAAAGAAGTACATCCCATTCCTATTTATAATTTCATAAGAAAGCATTTATTAACATCAGTCAGATAGTACCTGGTGCTTCTGTCCTTTCACACAGCTTTTGACTGTGAGCACAAGGTAAACCATATACTTAACAAACGATTTCATCCTTTCTTACTTGCTTTATTTGCTTCCTTTTTATTGGCACGATGAGGTATGTGCAGCATCTCCTTTTCCTTTTCTCTCTTATGTTTATCTCTGGAAAGAGGAAAACAGGAGAAGGGAGAACAGGGGTGAGGAATGATGGGACATGTTTGAGACCCCAAGTACTGACCAGATACCTGATTTTTCAAGCATTTCAGCAGCCTGAATTTGACCTCTTTATTTCATGGTAGCATGGTTCTGTGTTCCAATGCAGTGAGCTAAGGATGAGAAATCTCCATAGAAAACCTGCTTTTGAGTAGGAGATACTTCCCTGTGCAGCTTCCTTCCTCCATCATAACAGATTAGTTATGTTTCTTACCAGAACTTGAAGGTGCTTTAGTATGTTTTGAGGCTTTAAGCTTCATAACTAAGCCACAGGCTTCAGCTTAGATCACAAAACATTTTGGCAATGGAGTCAGTCATTCTTTGTGTCTGTTTTACTTTCAAATTCAGTGAGTTCCTATTTGTGCTCCAGTGGGAATTCTTTTTTTCTTCTGCCACAGCATTTCTTCCCTAATTCTCTGTAGGGGAGAGATATCTCTGCTGCCAGAGCAGTCGAGAGAACCTGGAGGTGCTGACCATAAAGGGCTTTACTAAGTCTAACCTCCAGCTCAGATCAGGTCTGCTCAGATCAGGGTGCTTGGGCTTTACCCAGCGTGGAGCTGGGATGCAGAGTTTCACAAGCCAAACCAGAGGCAGCTCTGTCTTTAGATCAGTTTGAGTAAGTTTTCCAGTCTTTATTTTTGAGCTGTACTTCGAGGCAAAGAAGAGAGGGTAAAGTCAAATCAGCCCAGAGACGGGAACTGTACACTGGCAGAATGAGATACTCCCTATGGGGGAACTGCTGCGCTTCAGAAACCACTGGTTGCACTTTCAGTGGGTGAGAGGCAGTTGCACGTTATTGACTTAGAGCTCACAGGAAACACTTGTGGGCTTAATGGTGTAATTCCGCCCCCCCAAATCGTTGTGTTTCATTGTTTCATGACATTCAGGACCCCAAATATTTCCTTACTGTTTCTGACCTAATTCTTGCTTTATTTCTCCCTGGAAGCCAAGCGCAGCCAGTCTATCAGCAACTGTGTGCACCTTTATGAGGCTTTGCCAGCCACTAAAAGCGTCCCTCTCCTGCTTCACACTGTGAGCTCTCTCTTACCTGGTATCTCTTACACCTCTTGCTCTCACAGACTGTCAGGTACTGTACTTGAAATCATCTTTTATATAAATGTTCTTTATATTTTAAACTGCTGTCTGTCTGTTCCCTTCCTTTCTTTAGTGGTGTGGAATGAGATGTTTTGCCTTGGTTCTGTTTCTCATGCCTTAGAGCTGTTCAAAACATGGTGTTAACTAATAGTGGTAGCCATTAAGAGATGAGCAAGTTTAATGGGAGTGTAACTTGGCCTTTTTCAGAGTTATAAAGGGTGCAAAAAGTAGCTACTTGCAGCTTTTTTGTTACTCTGGCACTGGGTTCAGTGTCAAACAGTAACTTTGTCAGGGAAAAGGAGGAGAGCAGTGGCATTCTGAGGAACTAGTGCAGAAACTGCTTGAAGATGTGAGCTAGTGCGAGCAAAATACACAAAGAAATGCAGCTGGTTGAGCTACTTGATGTAACAGAAAAATCTCATTCAGTATGTTACAGTTACAAATCCACGCTTAAAAATGTGGCTTTTTTCCTCTTCTGTGGAATTCTTCCTGTAATTATTGGTTCCAGAAGCAAACACAAAAGATTTGTCTGTGCCTCTTAGTTCTTGGGTAGTGTTTGATTTCTCCCACATGCCTGCGGTACTGCAAGTAATGCAGGTTTGTAATACTCATATGCAGTTCATATTTTTAATATTCATATGCAGTTCATTTTAATAGTAAAGATTACCATGAATCATAATTAATTTCTTAATAAAGAAATCCTTTTATTCATGCTTACACTTTTTATTACTTGATTTATGGAAGGTTTCCAAGCAATTGTTAAAGTTTTAATGTAGTGCAGTCCAAATATACTAAGGATTAGGGAAGCAAAAATGAAATGCAGCAGTCCAGATTTGGGCATTTAGTGTTATTTAGGCTCAAGTGGGTGTATTTCTGCTCAACAGTGCAGTAAACCTTGGATTTTCCAAGCAGTGGAACTTGCTGTTGTGACAAACGAAGCTGGAGCAAGCCCTAAGCATACACCTGCTGAGCTGAGCTCTGTGCTGGTGCCCAGACACAGCTGAGTAAAAGCGAGCACAGAGCACTTGGCTGTAAGGCACTCATCCTGTCCCCTAGCCAGGGGTGCTAGTGGAGGCAGCCAGCTTGCTTGTCCTCTGAGCAGGCTGTCCTTTATTTCTGTTTCAAGTCTCTGAAAGTGACTTTGTTCCCTCCTGCGTTACACCTCCTGGGAGGGGTTTCTGGCTCGAGCCCTAAGCAGGGTTAGAGCTGAAGTTGTTCCAGCTACTGAATTTAATGTTGTTTGATTTTACCACTTTCTGCAAGACACTGAAGCCAGCAGTGATACTCTAAGGTCAGTACAGAGCACCTGGGGTTTGTGCATGGGCACTTGTGAGGTACATTCTGCAGTACACACAATGCTTATTAAGTGTTTCAGCGTTCAGCTCGGTGCAGGTTGACTGAGCTGAGCACTGTGTCCTTTTGTGGGCTGCTGCTGCAGCCTGTGTGTCACCCATAACCTATCCCAAGGGCTGCACTTCTTGCTTATGTGCACAGCCTCGATGTCAGTGCCTGTGGAGTAGACATGGAGCAGAGCAGAGGAGGCAGGAGGAGTTTAACAGAGAGCTGGTGGAAGGGTCACTGGTCCTTGTTGGAAAACAGAGATGCCAGGGCTCTCATAGGAGCTGCCACAGCAGCACTTTCCATCCTGCTTTAGGAGTGGAAGGTACCATTGGCTGTGTGGCCTGAGCAGTCACTGGTGGCTCTGCTGGGTCAGCTCTGGTGGGGTGTGTGGGCCCCCTCCTCGGCTGCCTTCTGGGGAAGGAGTTAGCAATCAGGTTAGGATTGGGAGGTGGCATTAACCACTGTCACGGCCATAACTAAAAGCACCCTTACTTGCCTACAGGAAACCTGGAGAGGGGCTTTGGACAAGGGATGGAGGGACAGGCCAAGGGGAATGGCTTGAACCTGCCAGAGGGGAGACTGAGATGAGCTCTGGGGCAGAAGCTCTTCCCTGTGAGGGTGCTGAGGCGCTGGCACAGGGTGCCCAGAGAAGCTGTGGCTGCCCCATCCCTGGCAGTGTTCAAGGCCAGGTTGGACACAGGGGCTTGGAGCAACCTGCTCTAGTGGAAGGTGTCCCTGCCCATGGCAGGGGTTGGAGCTGGGGGAGCTTTGAGGTCCCTTCCAACCCAAACCAGGCTGGGATTCTGTGAATGGAAATACACTTGATCCCAAGTATTGCTGTCTTTCTCCCCACCCCAGTGCTCAGAGAAATGCATTTCTACAAGCACTGTGTTGCTGGTTCACCTCAAGAGCTCCTGATGCTCCTTCCCCACTATGTCAGTTTTCTTTCTCATTTGAATTTTCGTGCCCCTTTCTCCTCTGTTTTGATTTCTCATTTGCAGTTACAACAAAAAGCTGCAGGATCCAGTTTGCCCTCAGAAACCAAGCCCGAGTCATGTGTAGCTCAGATTGGTTTTACCCTGTCTGAATTGTTGCCTTTTTTTGTTGTCCCCCTCCCCTCCTCATGGGGAAGTCAGTCAGCGCAGCCGCCTGCCCTGTAGCAGTGTTGCAGCTTCTCCTCTGTCCTGTTTCCAGAAGCAGCAGGGCCTAGTCTGATGCTCTAGCACTGAAAACCAGCTTTGTTCCCATGGCAGCCTCCCACCCCTCCTTGTGCACTCCGAACTCCAGAGCCATTTCTGTCCCTTTTATAGCCCTTTTACCTCTGGCACTGCTCATACACCTCTCTAAACTTCGCAGTTTTCTAAGGACATTTTCTAAAACCTAAATGATAACCTGTGTAATTGGGAGTGACATTCCAGCTTTGGAACCTGGGAACTTTAAAGGTATTGGAATAGATACTGAACTTTTTGCATAGGTTCCTTAGGTGAGGAGTTCACACAAGTGTGTCATTCTGAGGTTGTGCTGATGTTCTGTTTTAAATCACCAGAAGTGGAAGAATCTCAGCAGCTGGAAAATCCGGCAGGAGCAGAAGCCTCGGGCCTGTTTGCAGAGCAAGAGCAGCAGCTGATTCGGAGCAGCAGCACCTCGGACATCGCAGAGCAGTTCCCTCCTGATTTTCTCCAAGGTAATTCCTACAGACCACAGCGATGCTGCACTTCTGAAGAGGAAGTGTGGAGCCCCGTCCCGCCCCATAAGTGCTGCTCTCACCTACTTTGCTTTGCAGCCCTGTTGTAAGACCTTTTTTGTCTTGCTTTCTTAGTAAATTTATTGTTGGTGTCTTGTTGAAATAACTATTGGTAAGAAGTTACAGACCCAAATGTAGGACATGACACTTATAAAGCAGGGCAGTTAACAAAGAAACCTTTAAACGTGTGCATTTCGTGTGTAACTCTTAACATTTATTTCTTTTAATCTGGCTTGCATTTAAATTTTGTCTTCAAGCAAACAGCTCTGCTGTTCTATCATGTAAGCATGCCGTGCTTATGAAGGATCTTCCAAAGCACCTTGTGTTCTGTTGTAATGTATTACTTCCTTGAGCTATAGCCACAAGAGGCATGTAAATGTAACTGAAGTGCTCGTGTGCTGTGCTGTGTACTTTGGTCCCACAAATGTCTGTATTTCCTGTTTGCTTTCCAAAATTTCTAGGTAAAAGGGCTGGAGCTTCTTATAATTCCACTTCTGCAGACTCCAGATGTGTTCAGGAAAATAAGGGATGTGCAAAGAAGGAACATGAAGCTGAGCAAGTAAGGCGAAATGGGAAAAGTGGTTATTGATGAGATCCTAACAATGTTTTATTTCTAATGAGGTGGTTCTAGTGTTTAGAAACTCCAGTTTAGCAACTGCCAGTGTGAAAAAACAGTAATCACATTCCTAGTTTGGAGCCAGGAATTGTGCTGTAGCTGCTCATGTGCTGGGGGATGTGAGCATTCTGCCTCTCCCCATCTTGTCAGTTGTAGCTGCAGGCCGAGGTAATGGCCTGTTGCAAAAGGTTTATGCAAGACTTCTGTGCTTTTTATATTAAATATAAACAGAAGTTAATAACTTTTAAAGTGTAAATAATTCATGGCTATTAGAGAGCTACAGTGCACTGGAATAAATGTTTCATAGTTTAAAGTACTGGGGGAAGTGCTCTCCTCCAGCACCATTTGTATCACCAGCTGTGTACTGCAGAGGTTTGTGCAAGTTACCATCAGGACAGGAAAGCTTCATAAATCTTTAATGCAACTTCTGAATAAATGGCAGAAATAATGATGGCTGGGGCTGATCATCTCTGTGGAAGTGTAATGCAGTGTGGCATGGTGACCTTCAAGCTGAATCTCATCTTTGGACCGTGGCTCTCCCATATGTCTAGACTTAAAAGTACCAGTAACTGCTCTAGAAAGGAGAAGAGCCATTTTCTGCAGGGGGCTTTCATTAATTGCTTCAGGAGTGGCCAAGTGTCTCGGAGAGGGAGGAAAACCCTGTCTGCTGTGCGTGGCAGAAGGGAGAGGGAGAGGAGTGAGCTCAGGGAGGGGAATGAAACGCTAACCTGGCTCCCTGTTCTGTCCCAGGCGTGTGCTGCCGGGCTGCTGCCCGTGTGGCACCTCCACCCTTTCTGCAAGTGGGGGCTGGGCTTTGGCCGTGTGTTCACTGTGTAACTCGCTGAGGTTGCACGTGGACCAGCCGCACCTCAGATCACAACCCCCTGAAACGCCACCGTCGTGGGGAGCAGTCAGCGGGAAGAGAGCGCTGCAGCCTGGCGGGCAGCACAGGCGAGCAGGCATTGCCGGGGGGCGATCCCCGGCACGTCCCCCCGCCGCAGTGTTAGATAATAGCACAATGATTTCTAAAGCCAGAGGTCTCTGTGGGGGCAAGAATTCCTCAGATTTAGACAGAAAGAACAAACGGATTAATGTCTGGGCAGAGGGTCAGAAATTGCTTCAAGAGATTTATACATTTATTTAAAACTAGGAATACTAATATCTGCAAATCTCAGAATGGAATGTCAGAATTGTTACCTGAACTGAAAAATTTGAGAGCAGAGATTCCTTCGGCAGCTAGATCCAGTGTGCTGCAAGGGGTAGGGCTTGGGGCTTTGTGTTGGGCAGGAGTTAAGTTTTGCCGTTAGAGGTGCCATGGAGATGTGCCATGGAGATGTGAATTGGAGATGTACGTTATTTACAGATGTAAAGAAAACCAGTGATGTGTAGGGACAGAGCAGTGTCGTGTAGAAGCAGAAAATGGTCTGAAGGGTTTTCAGCAAGTAGCTCTAAACCCATTTGATGAAGGAGGAGGAGGTGAAGAAAGGATGGGATGTCCTTGCATGGGTTGACTTGCAGCAGAATAGTGTCCTGACAGAAGAGATGACTGCTGGTTCCTTCCTGAAGGATTTTTGGTACTTCTCTGTATTGAATCATTTCAGATTTGTGGAAAAACGTAGCTAAAAAGTCCTGCTTGCTGGTATGAAAACTGAGTGCAAGGAAGGGAGGTTAAAGGCTGAAACTGAAAGCAGGATGCTTCCCTTAAGTCATTTAGAGATATTTTGGTAGTCTAAATATTCATGAAAATATCTTGACTGGGTTGTAACTGATTTCTAATAACTGTGTATGTGTCTTAGATTTGCTAAAATATGATGTGGTTCTCAGAACTGTAATAAAGTGAGATGAATGTGTTTCTCCGAAGGTACCAGTCCGAAGAAGCAGCAGCACAGCTGAGTTGGATTTGAAGGCAGACTGGCAGCAATCCCATGGGAATTGCAGAGAGAGAGAAAAAAGTGAGTTCCAAGAAACAGTCTTTTTCTGAGGTGTAGCAAATGGAATCAGTGTCGTGTTCTGTCTTGTTACAGATGCAGTGGCCACTTTTCTCATGGTGCTTTGCTAATGTAGTTTTTACAAACGGGGTTTGTGATCTGGTTACTGCCCTTCTTGCTGCAGGTGAGAGCGTCAGCAGTGACACGTCCATTGGTTATAACAACGAGGTGGAGATTACTCTCATCCCCTGGCAAGCTTCTGAAGATGACCCTGAGGTGAATGCCTCAGCAGATGATTGTGTGGATGCTGATGCCCCTCGCTGGCTTCAGCTTAGCCCCTCAGACACCGCAAACCTGACAGGTACTGCACTGCAGGGAACGTGTTCTGCCCTGTCATCTCCCAAAGGACTTCATACAGTTCAGTTTGCTTGTAGAAGTATGTTTCATTTTTCATGTATTGCCATTTTCTTTCATAATGCTCATTCAAAAATGAGTTTTGAATGCCCAGAGTTTAAGGAATTTGGGTAACCAGAAGCTGAAATAGGTGCCAATAAATTGTGGTCCAGAAAAGGATCACACAGGTGAAAACAATGGGGTTGCTTTCTGTGTCATATCACTACTCATCAGCTGAGTTGCGACAGCTGATCACTTGTGCTCTCTGAGCCTGCCCTAATAATGCTCAATAAGTTCATTTAATTTCTATGTAAAGTGAACAGGTTTTATTTCATAGCAGAAAGGTACAACAAACAAAGCAAAAAGCAAAACAAAATATCCCAAAAGCTTTTTAAAAACATCAATTCACATGAACATAAAAGCATCTAGAATGGCTTTCACTTTGCTGACCCTCTCTGGGTCCTGGGGTTACTTCCCTGTGCCTGTGTAGAGGGTTCCTGCACCTCTCCTCCAACCTCGGGTGCTGAGCACCACAGGGAGCCCTGCTGCACCCTGGGGCTGGTCTTGCCTGCAGACAGGCTGCTACACGGCTCTCCCTGCTCTGAGAGCAGGCTCTTGTCATCAACAATTCCACTTAAATATGGAACTCTGCTTGTAATGTCCCAGCATATGAATTCCATTGTCCTGATGGTCTTCACAATGCCCTGCTCTCCTTCTCAGTTTGTACACTGCAATCTCAGGAACAGTTTCTGCATAAATGAGGATGCCCGAGCATGCTCTTCATCACTAGCAGTACATACCTCTCAGGGTCTTTGTTCAGTTGCATTTCCAGGTCATTTTATGCTGTGTGATCTTAAAAGAGAAAGGTCTTTTAGAAATAGAAATCATAGAATCACAGAATCCCAGACTGGTTTGAGTTGGAAGGGACCTTAAAGCTCATCCAGTTCGAATCCCCTGCTGCAGGCAGGGACACCTTCCACTAGAGCAGCCCCTGCCCGTGGCAGGGGGGTTGGAACTAGATGATGAAATCCGCCCATAAAAGCCAGTCATTGGTTGAATAAATCTCCCTGAGTACAGGAATGTTCCGTTTAACTGCATTTGCCTCCCTGGTAAAACAAACCAAAAGTTGAGGGGGGACAGTCTGATGTAAACTACTCTGCAGCTGTGTCACCTCTGTGTGGAAGGCCCGTGAGCCCACGCCTTCTGCTGTGTTTTGGTTTTGAACCATGTGCTAGCTTGAGCAATGAAAAAGAGGGTGGTGATTTGGAGAAAGAGAGAACTGCAGAGGTGGAAGATGGTTAAAAGGAGCAGGTTTCCTGTTTTACTGATCCATTTTATACTGATTGGACAGAGCCTTGGGTGACATAGTTTAGTGTGTGCTGTCCCTGCTCATGGCAGGGGGGTTGGAACTAGATGATCTTAAGGTCCTTTCCAACCCAAACTATTCTATGATTCTATGATCTATGATTCTATGACACTGCATTTCTGATTCATGGAGATGGAACTGTGTTGGATTTCCAGACAGCAGTGAGTTCCTTGCTGATGACTGCAGTATAATTGCTGGTGGAAGCCTCATCGGTTGGCATCCTGATTCTGCTGCCGTGTTGTGGAGGAGGATCTTGGGAATTCTTGGAGATGTGAACAATATAAAGTCACCTAAAATTCATGCAAAAGTGTTTGGGTATCTTTATGAGTTGTGGTACAAACTTGCAAAGGTATGTGTGTGATGCTTACACCTACTGATACTGATTTTTCTGTTGTTTATAAATTATTAAGTATGATTTAGTATCAGCATCTGGAACAAAAGCATGGGATTTGGAGGATTCTCCTGTCAAGAAGGCTAATCCTGTTTGATTTCCAGTAGGTATCCCCAGTAGAGAATGTTCCTGTTCAATGATAACAGAATTTAGACAGTTAATTTATATGGGATGAGGAAACAGTAACAAAGAAAATAGAGGTATAGAATAGAATATTGTTATAAAAGCCCATGGTATGACCTGAAAGAGCAACATTTACTTAGGGCATGGGGAAGCCCTATAGAATGAGCTTTCCTGGTGATTTTGGCTGAAGTAAGAACTCCGTGTAGTGTTTCAAAGTAACTAAAATAAATGAGAAAGTGATAATGTGAAATAAAGAAGCTATCAGTTTTACTGGTTCTTCTCTTTTAAAACCTCCTAGATTCGGGACAACCTCGCTATAAGTGTGGACAATCAGTCTACTCCCTCTCCTCCTGTCCTCATTCCTCCTCTCAGGATATTTGCATCTTGGTTGTTCAAGGTAAGTGGTTTCTAAACTTCTCACACATGAATGTTGTCTTCTGTATCGGTACAGAATGTGTGTATGTTCAGTTGTGTTACTGTTAATGCTTGCAACCACTGCTAAGAGGATGAATACCCTCCAAAGGCTGTTTGGACTTGAATCTCATGTAACAAATACAGGGAACAGCTTTGCTTTATGCAAAATCTGCTGGAGATACAGTTTCGCATTCGCTGACTACTAGAGAAAAAAGCACTAATACAAGGATTTTGCTCTTTTCAGGCAACCACCCTGCCAAGTGAGTACAAGGAAGGCAAGCTGCAGGCATACAGGCTCATCTGTGCCATGATGACGAGGCGACAAGATGTTCTGCCTAATTCTGATTTTCTGGTTCACTTCTATTTTGTGATGCACCTTGGCTTGACAAGTGAAGACCAGGTACAAGCTTCACCTGATAAAAAGTGAATTTATTATTGTGCTGATGGAAATTTCTGTTGTTTGTGTTACAATTGTTGTGCTGGGGCTGTGGGGCAACAGAGCTGCTGGAGTGAGTCCAGAGGAGGCCACAGGGATGCTGCGAGGGCTGGAGCAGCTCTGCTCTGGAGTCAGGCTGAGAGAGCTGGGCTGGGGCAGCTGGAGAAGAGAAGGCTCCTGGGGGGGACACCTTAGAGCAGCTCCAGGGCCTAAAGGGGCTCCAGGAGACCTGGAGAGGGGCTTTGGACAAGGGATGTAGGGACAGGCCAAGGGGAATGGCTTTAACCTGCCAGAGGGGAGATTGAGATGAGCTCTTGGGCAGAAGCTCTTCCCTGTGAGGGTGCTGAGGCGCTGGCACAGGGTGCCCAGAGAAGCTGTGGCTGCCCCATCCCTGGCAGTGCTCAAGGCCACGTTGGACACAGGGGCTTGGAGCAACCTGCTCTAGTGGAAGGGGTCCATGGCCGGGGACGGGGGTAGAGGTGGAGGAGCTTTAAGGTCCCTTCAACACAAAACAGGCTGGGGTTCTGTGATTTTCATATTTGAAGATCTGAAGCAGAAAGGAAGCAATGTTTTGTGACAGTTGTTGCATGAAATTGTCCTGTGTAGCCTGGTCTGTACCTTTCTTTAGATTACCTAGTCATAAGTTTCTCGTTGCTCCCCCAGTTATAAACTGTTATAGATGATGAAATATTACCTGTAATATTGCAGGTAATATTCAAGGAGAGCTGGGACAGAAGGTTATTTCACCTCTATAGCCAAGAGGTGCTGCCAAAACATTCTGCTTCTGAGGACAAATGTATCCGGGCCCCTGTGCCCTGGGCTGGCCTCATTAATAAAGCATTCAGTGGGAGATGAAGACAAGACTTCACCTGTTGAGGTGTAAGGAGATTACTGGGCCACAGAAATGGCTGAATACTTACAACAACTCTAGGAATTACTCCTGGGCAAAATAGACAATACGTAGGAACACATCCACGTTTTTATAGCTGGAGGAGAGAGGTTTCTCCCTTAAATGAGAGCACGGGCAGAGCCGAGCTGCGGTGCCGGCAGAGGGCACCTCAGAACCCTGCCGTGCTCCCTCTGCACCGCCGAGTGCCTGCGGGGGGAGCCTGCACAGGCTCCCTTATGTCTGAGGTGGGAGACAGGAATAGTCAGTTGTTAGGAGGCTCTGGCGCTGTGAGTCTCAGGTCCCCCTCCTGACAAGCATTTGGAAAATCCTCCTTTGAAATAGATAATGGAGGGGGGAGAGAAAAAAAAAAAAAAAGGAATAGAAAGGAAACGGTTTTCTTGTGGAAAGACAAGTCCTGGCCAGTGCTGAAATGTAGAAACCCCCCCCCTTTCTGCCACTGTCAGTGTGTAACCTAGGGGTAACAAAGAGTGTGTTGCTCTTTCATTTCCCTAATGCCATTTGGATTTCAGTTTAACACCGCTTGTTGAACAGAGTACCTTCATTCCCCTGCAAACCCCCTGTCTGCTAACACCCCCTGTGATCAGACCCTGTCAGTGTTAAGAACCACACAGTGCTGCATCCTCTCACATAAAACACACAACTCACCAAACATTAAAGCCTGATGTAGGCTGAATTCACTTTTACATCTGAAAAAACAAAGACCATTAATACAGCAGCCACAGCCAACACAGGCCATCGGGATGGACGCTATCAGGAACTGTAAGACTGAAGTTGCTTTCATCTACACATTTCTATGAAATGGCCAGGTTCTGAAGTGCCAGCAGCTGCTTGCTTCTAAGCTGGAGGGTGCTCTGCTTTTTCCGAATCTGATGGCTTCCCAGAGAGCCAATTCCTGCATAGAAACCAGGAGATTTCTGAAATGCGGAGCTGCTTGTTGTTGAGCTGCTCTTTACCCTGTTCATTGCGCTTTGCTGTTAGTAGCCGTCCCACAGACTTTAAGCTCTTGCTGCTGTGCACATCGGATTTCAATCCTTGTGCAGAGCCCCAATCCCAAAGTGAAAGAAGATGGAGCGGTGGAGACTGTGCGCAGTGAAGGCAGACCCTGGGCTGCCCATCTTTCCAGAGTGTCCCAGATATTTTCCATACTGATGCTGCTCTTTTGTTCCTCCTCGCCTTGCTCTGTTTTGCTGCTTTTGCCTCGTGGTGGCACACTTGACCACAGGTTTTCTCTTGTGTTGCTGTCCTTTCAGTTTTGCTTTCCTTAGCTATGGAATTGATTGAGGTATTAACTCACGGTGCTTGGGAGCTCGGATTCTCATGCAACGTGTTGATACAAACCACAATCCTTGTGCCTATTTCTGTGTTTCCAGCATCACAGAATCCCAGCCTGGTTTGTGTTGGAAGGGAGCTTAAAGCTTCTCCTCTGCCAACCCCTGCCACGGGCAGGGACACCTTCCACTAGAGCAGGTTGCTCCAAGCCCCTGTGTCCAACCTGGCCTTGAACACTGCCAGGGATAGAGCATGATTCACCTCAAGGTGCTGAATGGGTGCTGGGTCTGGTCCAGTCATTTGGATGCTGAGGGCACTGGACAGGTTCTGTGATTTTTGTTCTGCGGGTTTTGGTACATGCTGTTCCCTGATAAACCTCTTTAAAAGAGGGTGTGATGTCCTGGGCACAGGGACCACTGGGACACACATCCCTGTTCTTCGTAGCACTGCAGAATTCGAGTATTCCAGTCATTGCCCACCAGAATAAACTGTGGTGCAGATTCTTTTAGCACGGATGTTTGTGCTTAGCACAAGCATGAATTTCTCACTCTTAAGGAATACAAACAGGAGAACTGGGGGGATGTTCTCATGGAGCAATTTTCCTTCTGTGTGTTCCACTAGTGCAACTTTAAAATTACTGGGAAAAGCAGCAGAAATGTGGACAACCCCCAGGAGAACACGTTGGCTACATTAAAAGAGCTTTGAGTCACTACATAAATTACAGTCAGAAACCTCTTTGACCTGAATGCAATTATCAGTTGGTTTAGTCTATTAGTTATAGTTCATAGTTGGTTATTTTATTTAGTTAGCATCAGAAATGTTTCTTTCTGAAATATATTTCTGTTTCCACTCCTCCCTTAAGGGCACAGAATTCCTTGTGTAGCTCTTTGTGCTGCAGAAAACCAAACCAGTCCATTTGGAACATGGTTATGAATTATCCAGTGTCATCTCGGCAAGTGCAGCCGCAGCCGGCGGGGCCGTCTCGGGGGGGTGTAGAAGCAGTGTGAGGTGTAGCATGAGGTGTGTTTTCCACGGGGCTCTCGGGGCAGGGTGCAGCAATTAGCAGCTGAGGCAGGACACGGCCGGCTAATGAGCTGCGCCTGTTTGTGCGTGTGACACCGAACAACAACCGTCTCTGGGGCAGGGTGAACAATTCCGCGCCGTGGTTGCATCACCTCCGCAGGTGGGAGAACGGGCTGAGCCCAGGCTGGTGCTCTCACTGCTCCCGGCTCGCCCAGGGGCCTCGGGTCAGGGGCCAAGTGACCATCTGGGGTGACGGGTCTCCTCCTCCTCCGCTCCCAGCAGTGGCCGTTCTCCTCCTGCTGCAGCGAGCCGGGCTTCTCCTCCAGTTCCTAAGGAGTGAAGTTCACTGAGGCTCTACCTTCCCTCCCTCCCGTCTACAGGACAGGGAGTGTGGGTGATCACTGCCACACTGTCACCTCCCGCTGCTGGGTTATGGAGAATCATGAAATGCTTTGGGGGGTGAATTTTAGGCTGTGTCCCAGGGTAGCCTGGTGTGGTTTGGGTAGGCATAGCTGCCTTCTGCTGCTTGGTGACACCTCCCCCCCACACCCATGATTGCGCCTACACGTGTCTTTCAATTTGGACAATAAATAAAGCTTTCTAAATTAAAGCACAGTCTGGTACTGCAGTGCACACACTGAGTCAGGAGAGAAGGCGGCATTTTATTATCCTGGTGCTACCAGGTGCTTACTGCAGCAGTGGTTTTTGCTTCATGAACTTGCAGTCCATAAGTATCTCCTTGCTTCATAGCTTCCCTCCCTTTGCTGAAGAACCAAAGTACCAGAACACAATCCCCAAATACTACTAACACTGCTCACCCACCTGCTCAGAAAAGTAACTCCTGAGATAGTTCTGATTCCTCAGTTCTGGTGCTTTTGGTACTTAAATAATGCTTCTAGATTCCTGGTGGGTTTCTGTGACACTGTCTTGCCTCTAAATTTCCATTCCTAGTTTGAGCAGAGACTGCTGTGCAAGCTGGGCATTGCCTTGGAGTTATGCTGTAAAAGAGGAGGCAGGTTTTCAGTGTCAGCCCCACAGCTGTTTGGTGTCACTTCTTCAGCAGCAATCCCCCTCTGACCAGGGCTTTGGCACCAGTTAAGGTGCTCAGTGCAGCCTCTCAACAGCACGTGCCGCTGGGGCTTTGCTCTGTAGTCACAGGTTGTCTGAAAGTGAGTATTAACAAGAAAGTTTGATAAATGTACAATTCTGTTGGCTCACCAGAGCATCTCTGGAATAGAATGCTTAGAGAAGATACTAATGAACATAATAGAAAGCACAGCCCTCAGAAATTCCCTGTGGAAAAGACAACTAACAGAGAAGGAGGGGGGCTGTGCCGATGGCTTCTTTTAGTTGAGTGATGTTAAGGGCAGAGCAAACTTTAAATATGGAAGAAAAAACCCCACAAAGCGCCAACCCAAGGAGCTGACAGATGTCCTTGTGATTAGATTTCAGGCTGTGCAGGATGCAGCCAGCTGCAGGCAGAGGAGTTAACAGCTATGCTTTTAGCTCTGTGCCTTTTGGTAGCAGAAGGGTGACTTAGATGAAATACTCTGCCAATAAAGATGGTGATGTACTAATGTAGGTTGTGCTTGTCTACAAGCCTCGTAATCTGTTTAAAATGTGCTGTCCCTAATTATGGCAGGGAAGCTATACACCAGTTATGTGGTAAGCTTGTGAGGAAACACTGACTGCAGCTCTTTTGTATCAGAGATGGCTATTTAAAATCTGAAGCACTTTTTAGTAGAATTGCTACCAGAAAAGCCATGTTATCCTCCTATTTGTGCTAACATGGATCTGGAGCTTAACAAAAAACGCTTGTGAGCTTTATGATGTTCATTTGAAGTTCTTATTCAACAGCGAGGGGCTGTGGATAACTTCTGGACTGCTCAGCCACTGCTGCTGCTCACTGGGACCTGCACGAGCTGCGTGGAGTGTTGTCTTCTAAAGGCACAATAAATGAGTTTAACACGTTTGCCATGTTTTGGGTTGTGCAAAACGATCCCTTCTCCTCTGCATGTGTTCCTCCACCCCAAAAGCTGGTGCAGCAGGCAGGTAGAAGTGCTGCTCTGGCTCCCTGCGACACAGGGCTTGGAAGCGTCCTGCCACTGGCATTTGGGAGAAATCCTGGTAGTGACACAAAGTCACCTCAACACCTGAAGCAGTGCCATGGACTAGTAACTGTGGTGTTGGTACCCATAGCTCTGTAGGAAATGGGTATTTGAATGATTCCCTCTCAGTGTGTGTGAACTTAAATTAGTTCTTCCAGTCTGAAGCGTGTCCCTAATCCTCCAAGGCTGCGAATATATCAAATGTACTCTAAAAGGGGAGAAAAAACTCTTTAAAAACTCCCTTCCTCTCTTTGCGTGATCTCTGTTAAGGGGGCATCTGAGCAGCTGTCAGCACAGGGCTTTGGCTGTTCACTTATTAGTGCAGCTCTAAAAGAGGGAGCTTTCTGATGTAGTTCAGAGGGAAAGGAGCAGTTATCAGGAGGTGATTTACACAGTAATCTGTCATCTTTAGCACTTGTGAGTAACCTTACCTGTGTTTTACAAATGCATTGTTCTTCTGGTTTATAATATCTCTCCCTGTTGCATTCCAGTCACAAGATACTTCAGCAACTTTTGTGGAGGTTAAGTGACAGGTTGAAGTGAATTTTCCTGACAGGCTAATCCTGAGGGTGTCAGAATACTTCATAACTTGTTATTGGAACTTAATTTTTGGCAAGATAACTCTTACCTGAAATGTGACGGTAGCGAGGAAAACCTGGAATATAAATGGAAGCATTGTTTCCTTTACAGTGGAGCCGGAGGATGAAGGGCTCCCCCCTGCAGCCTCCTGTACGTTGCTGATCTTTGCGGTGCTTTCAGCCCCTCATGAGGTGTCTCAGTGAAGAGCAGAGCGCGCTGGGTGGCAAGCCGGTGCTGGCGCGGCGGCGTGCTGGGCAGATGGTGGGCTATTTGGTTACACCTGTAGTCTGCGGGAGCCTGGGCAGAAATTAGGTGAGGAATATTTTTGTACTTGACCTCTCAGTGAACCACCGTCCGTCTTTTTTCACTTACTCAGTGGATGTTTATGACGTTATTATTTGGATTACCAGCTCAACCTGTGCTGAAATACTATGCTGCTTATAGGGTTAATGCATTTGAGAAGGACATGCATGTGATTGCCCCCTTCTCTCCCCTCCTCCCCATTTTTAACACTACAGAGCATCATTTTGAATTGAAATAGTCCATAATGGTCCTTTTTTTCACTTGTCTTCAACAACATGAACGCTAAATTATAGCTGTGCAATTATGTAAACAATGGAAATGCTTCCAGAATGAATACTTCCTTTTAAATTTTCATTTTGTGTAATTGCTGAAAGGTTCGGAGCCATAATAAACCAAAATTATTTTACACATTTATCGTTCTAAAGGTCAATTATGAAAGAAGTAAAGAAACAACACGGCACAGAATGAGTAAACCAATTTCTATTGCCATCACCATATGCTTTTCTTATTGCTTGTGTTTTCCCAGTTACTGTGTACATAGCATTCAATTAAAGTGATTCATTTACTAGGCTGCGCGCTGCTGAGCAGGGTCTGCATGTACCGGGCAGCGCTTTGGAGGGGAGGAAACAACCGCCTCTGTTTGGATTACCTGATTTTTGTGCTATCACTGATAGGACATATGTTCTCACTTGGTCTCTTTCTCATGAGCCCAGGTCTCCTTGATGAGCTCATAGTGTTCCTGAACTGCTGCATGCAGCCACGCTCAGCTGCGTGCGGGAAACATGGTGCCTGCTGGGGAGAGGGAGGAACGGGCCCAGCTTTATCCGAAAGCACCATCCCCGGGGGGCTTCTGCCCTGTCTGTGCTGCTGGGACTGAGCTCAAGCAGAACACCAGTGTTACATCGGACACACTCTCCTCGTGTTAGTTCAAATGAAGTCACTCAAGCTAGCACGGATCTATGCTGGAATGCCCGGGATGGCAGTGGGAAGCAATGGGAACCAGGCTGGACGCGGTTTTGTCTGGGCTGTTACATGCTTGTACATTGTCAGCTTTCAACAGTTGTGTGTTTTGTAGCTCCGCAGCGTGCAGCCTGTGCTGGGAATCCATCGCTTTGAAGCTATGGGACAAAAAAGAGGAACTGGGGATTGTTTCCTTAGCTTTTCCAAAGGAATTTCCAAAAGTTTTTCACTATGAAAACAATGGACTTCTTTAGTAGTAGCACATCTCATAAACAGCAAATGGATCTGTGTGGCCTCATTCTCGCAGCTTTTCGGCATGTGTGTTGTCACAGTGTTCGTTAAAGCTGTGTTAGCTGTGCACCCACAGGTATGAGTGTATGAAAGCAGCAGTGTTGCTGTTGCTCTTTCATCCTGTTTCCTGTGCAGTGACCGTTGTTGGGAGCCCATGAAGCCGGGTGGCCGCTCCGTGCTGGTGAACAGATGGGCTGAGTGACGACAGGGGTGAAGGCTGTTGTTTGTGCCTCCGAGGCTCTGCTACCTCTCAGGCCAGGTTAGCCCAGGCCCTTTCATTGTGGTGTGTGTCAACAGCAGCGTGCTCCCATCTGCTGCTGCGCGGGTTGGTGCGCAGCCACTCAGAGGCCAAACACATCCCTACCTGGCTGTGGTGGGTAGTTACAGGTGCTGTGGGGAGCCAGGGGCATCAATCAGAGCCTGCATTAGGAAGGTGGGTCCTTTGTTCTGCCCAGGACGAGTTTACCACCCACTTTACGAGCGGCTGCATCCATCTGCTCCCTCTTTGCATGTTTGCCTTGACTGATATTGACTTTAAAATGTATCAAAGGAAGTGATTAAAAGCAGTTTAAACATTAACTCGAGTGGCATTTAGCTTATTCAGGAAAGTGAAAGCATTATCTGCTACTATGTGAAAAACTAGTGTTATTTACTCAAAATACACAACAGTTATGTCCTGGGGTGTCACTGCTGTGGATACATAGCGGGGCACTGGCCAGGTTCTGCCCAGGTGCTCAGCAGTGCCTGCAGAAAGTACTGGTGCTGTGAAAGCTCATCTTCATGTAGAGGAAAGGGAGCTTGGCTTCTTTAGGTTCTGATGTAGAAATTGCCTGTACATCAGGAATTGAATGTTCTGGGACTGAAGTTAAGTTCAAGCCTTCTTTAACACATCATAACACCAGAAAAGGTGGACACTGGAAATGGTTTTCCTCTTCGGCTTTTCTTTGACATTTTATTGAGACAAAAACTAATTTTCTACATAATATAGAAACTGCTTTTTCCAGTTCTTTAGCAAATGCAGTGTTCCATGTAAGGGTTATAGAGATTTTGTGCCTGAGTTTAAACCTGCTGAAACCTTGGAGGAAAGAAAACTTAAATAGAGGAACTTTGCTCTGATGTGGAGAAACTGTGGAGAATTGAAGTGTGGGAGGGTTAAAGTTGAAACGCGGAGCTGGAATGTGTTCTGTGTCACAGGTAATGTTGAGAGCAGAGCTGTGGTTGGTGGTGTGCTCTCACACATGTAGTGCCACCTCTAAAAACCAGGAGAGTCCCTCTGCTGCTTCAGGAGTGCAGCAGCAGCTCTTTTCCCCAAGGCTGATCTAGATTTGCTGTCTTAATTATCCAGAAGAGTGACTTGGGGTAACCTGGTCCCTGTGGGTTTCTGTGTCACTGTGCTGGGTGCCATCACTCAGTGCATTTGACATCACTGTATTTCCCAGCCAGTCCAGAGGAGCTGGAGGATCCTGGGGTGCTGGAGCAGCCTGGCAGTGGTTGGCGCCTGCTATCAGTTCCTGCCTAGGCTCCTCAGGGCAAAGCCACAGCCTGTTGTGGCACCTCGGGAGTTCACGGCTACAGAATTTTGGGTAATGGGATTTTAGGGAATAACTCACTGGGAATGATGTAATACTTCATTGGAAGTTGATTAATGGCTTTGGATCCAAGTCTTATTTAACAGGAGAACGGTTATGCTCAGACACAGAGAGACATTTGAGGGTTTGTTTTGGGGTTTTTTGGGGGGGGTTGTTTTGGGGTTTTTTTCCAACAGGAATTGAAGATTACAACTATTACCAAATACAAAATGCACTTTCCTTACTAAGAACATCTGCAGCAGGAAGCAGTGGTCGCTACCTGGTGGTCAGTTTGTACATAGAGCTGTGGGGCTCTGAACTATCTACCACCTTGATTAGTGTGGAACTGGTGAATTGCAAAGTTAAATCATAGAATCACCTGGGTTGGAAAAGACTTTCAAGCTCATCCAGTCCAACCATTCCCAGCCCTGCCAAGGCCACCACTAACCCCTGGCACTGCGGCCTCAGCTCCACGGGGATGGTGACTCCAGCCCTGCCCTGGGCAGCCTGTTCCAATGCCTGAGCACCCTCTGGGCAAGGAATTGTTCCTCAGCTCCAGCTAAACCTGCCCTGGGGCAGCTTGAGGCCGCTTCCTCTTGTGCCATCCCTTGTTCCTTGGGAGCAGAGACCAGACCCCTCCTGGCTCCATCCTCCTGTCAGGCAGTTGCAGAGAGCGATCAGGTCCTCCCTGAGCCTTCTCTTCTCCACACTAAACCCCCAGGTCCCTCAGCCCTTCCCCATCACACTTGTGCTCCAGGCCCTGCTCCAGCTCCGGTGCCCTTCTCTGGCCCCGCTCCAGCACCTCAATGTCTCTCTTGTAGCGAGGGGCCCAGAACTGACACAGGGTTCAAGGTGCAGCCTCACCTCTCCCTTTTGGTTTTGGGCCTATGTTGTTGTTGCGTTTTCCTTGTTCTGAAGCAGGTCCCTTCTCTTCCAGGATATCCTGAACACGGTCATCAGGCACTGCCCGCCCTGGTTTTTCTTCCTGGGCTTGCCTGGCTTTACCATGCTCATCGGGGATTTCATCACGGCGGCAGCACGGGTGCTGAGTGCGGACACGCTGGAGGTGAGGGGCTGCCCGGTGCCTGCCTGCGGGGCTGGGGGTAGGGGCTCATCAGAGCCATGCGGAGCGGTGCTGGAGCAGCTGAGCATCGGGTCCTGGGTGCGCTGCCACGCTCCTGCTGCAGAGGTGTTCCATCAGAGGCACCGCTGGGACCGCAGCACATCTCTGGGCTAAAGGCAGGGCTTGCATTTCAGAACCTCAGCAGCTGCTCACAGGCAGCACATATGGAAAATGTGGGACTCTTCTGGCAACACAGAACCTCTCACTAAATATCAGCACTAACAGGAACATAGCTCTAAACAATGAGATTAGTGAAGGAGAAATAAACAGCAAATCAGTGGTGGGATGCCAAAATAAGAGGGAAGGTCTGGCGGTGGTGGGCAGAGCAGGGAAGCTTCGTTTATGAAGCACCAGCCCGGGGGACCAACCTGCCCATTCTGGTCAAGTGCTTTTGCTGCTGCTCTTGACTTCGGTGTGGCTGTGCAGGGACACAGCCCTCTCCTGTCCCAGCAGAACTGTCCTAGCCTGACTGTGCCTTCTCCATTGTCCCACAGCTGATTTCCAGACATCTTATCAAAACCCCTGATCAGCCTGATTGCTGATCCAGAGCTCAAAGAGCTACTGAGAAATGAATACTCAGCTTTCCATGGGAGAAAATCCCAATCCACCACCACCTTCCATTTCTCCTGCGAGCACAAAACTTAGCATGCATTACGTTTTCACCATGACACAGGATGGTATAGCAGCAGTTAATGCCTTTATAGCTCATGCCATGTTGCTTTTGATAGTGTTACTGAAGTAGGAATCCCTCTGCACTTCTATCACATATACAGTCAGTTTGAGTGCATTGTGCTGTCTCTTGTGCTCCACAATCAGTTAATAGTACTGGATTAATGCTTAAAACTCTCACTCAGCTTCTCTTGAGGTTGTTCTGTGGTTTTTATTGACACTACATTGCTGACAGGTGGGTTGTGTAATGACAGAGGAGGTATTAAAAATATAGAATGTGCTTAGAAGTGGGGCCAGGTCCCTGCTGGAGGCAAAGCTCAGGCTCAGAGAAAGAGCAGAGCAACACAGCAGCTGACATGGGCAGGTAAGTGCTTGTTAGCACTTGCTGTAGTTGTAAAGGAGAAGCCACAGGGACGTGTTCCTTGGGACACTGGAAATGCTGCAGTGGGAATACAGCACACTTGGTGTTCATGGTGATGCACATGGCCGCAGAGCTGATGTCATTTTCCTAACTTCTGGATGTGTTCAGTGAGTACCTGTGTTCGCTTTCCCTGGGCAGGCTCCCCGCTCCGAAGCTCACACCATCCTTGGTTCTCTTGTTTGCTTCCCAAATATCTACCAAGAAATCCCGCTGCTGCGGCCCGTTGCTGAAGCTGGTGAGATCGTCGCGGGGACTGCGGATGTGAAGGTACAGTCCGGTGCCAGCAGTAAAGTCCTCCCTGCCCTCGTGCGCTCTCAGTGCTCCGTCACTCCGTGCCTCCTGGATGGTTGTGCTCAGACCACCACAGCTGCACACGTTAGTGTACTTACTGGATAAGCATTGCTGTGCATAACGGGTACCATAAAACTGGCAAAGCTGAGATACTGCAATTACATCTGAGTTTCACAGGGAGTGACCTGGTTCTGATCAAATGCGACGTTTTCCAGGCAGATGCTGTCAGGTCAATTCATTAAATGATGTTGGTGGTATTATTTAAAGTGTCCATTCATGGTATCTCTGTACATTAGTCCTGTAAGTGATGTGGAGGGTGCAGAAGGGGTAGATATGTTTGGTATTATATTAAATGTTAAGAAAATTCAACTACTAGAACCATTACCTTGTGTGAATGGTTTTTCCTTGAGCACTGATTTCAGTGGGACACCTGGAGACATGAATTGCCTTGAGGGATGGAAAGCTTTGTCATTTCCTGACCTTCACAGCAACAGTCTTGTAGGGGAAAAGTCACACATGCCCACCCCAGAGTCCTACCAAAGGGCTGGTATGGCAAAATGAAATAACTTTTTTCAAAGTGCATGTATGAAAAAGATGTTTATTCAAATTTATTTTGTTATTTTAGTGTTACCTCATAAATATCTTATTGAAGAATGCTACAGAGGAGCCAAGTGAACCTGCAAGGTAAAACACTGAGTGAAAGAAACAGGAAAATGGGAAACTTTTTCTCACTACTTGTTTCTGGGGCTTGCACAGCTGAGTTGTTTCTACTGCCTTGTGGTTTGATCCTGCTTAGATTGGTTCTTTAGCCCTACAAGGTGAGGTTCATTCTGTGCCATGAAGGTGTTGAGCTGTTGTTTGAGAGGGAAAGCAGAGATCATATCTTTGTGCATGTCTGTCTGCTTTTTTTTTCCCCCCCTAAATATTCTTCTAAAGCCTCTGACAGAAGCACTTTTGCTTTCCAAAAGGTGCATAGCCATCTGTGGCCTCGGAGTGTGGATATGTGAAGAGCTAACGCAGTGTACAAACCACCCCCAAGTGAAGGAAGCAATCAATGTCATAGGTGTGACACTGAAGGTACTGCTGTGACAGTCTCATTGTGTAAAAACGTAGTTTCATTTGATAAGTAGTTGCTGATTACGTGGAGCCCAGTCTGCTAGTTTGTTGTTCCATTGCTTCAAGCCCCAACAGGATGCTGCTGAGCACAGCATGGCCTGGGGCTTTCTGCATGCTCTCCTGAGGTGGCATTAACTATCTTCAAGAAGGTATCTCCCAGTTCTCAACCTTTGCCTGTCATTAGCAGCTCCTTATCTTCAGGGAGCATGGTTCCAAGTCAGTGCATGTTCTTCAGTGGGGCCCTTGGCAGCATCATAGAATCCCAGCCTGGTTTGTGTTGAAGGGACCTTAAAGCTCCTCCGGCTCCAACCCCTGCCCCGGGCAGGGACACCTTCCACTAGAGCAGGTTGCTCCAAGCCCCTGCGTCCAACCTGGCCTTGAACACTGCCAGGGATGGGGCAGCTACAGCTTCTCTGGGCACCCTGTGCCAGCCTCTCAGCACCCTCACAGGGAAGAGCTTCTGCCCAAGAGCTCATCTCAATCTCCCCTCTGACAGGTTCAAGCCATTCCCCTTGTCCTGTCCCTGCATTCCGTGTCCAAAGCCCCTCTCCAGGTTTCCTGGAGCCCCTTCAGGCACTGGAGCTGCTCTAAGGTGTGCCCACCAGGAGCCTTCTCTCCTCCAGCTGCCCCAGCCCAGCTCTCTCAGCCTGGCTCCAGAGCAGAGCTGCTCCAGCCCTCACAGCAGCTCCAGGGCCTCCTCTGAACCCACTAGAGCAGCTCCACATACCTCTTGTGTCCTATACAACAGTGCAAGATACTTGCAAAACTAGCCTGTGATTCTGTGCCTAAAGACCCTTCCCACCACAGGCCAAGCTGAGATCACACAGATAATGTCACATCTGCCTTATCCTGGTGCTGACAGTGTGCTGTTGGAGCATCACGAGGTTTTTATTGTTTGTTTGGATGCACAATAATTTAAAATGTAGGAAAACTGAAGGAATTGTACCTGGATATTTTATGACTTCCAATCTCCTCTTCCAGTTCCCTAATAAGCTGGTAGCTCAGGTAGCCTGTGATGTTCTTCAGCTGCTGGTTTCTTACTGGCAAAAGCTTCAGAAGTACGAATCCTCCCTGTCCAGAAAAATCACTGAGGTAAGGCAGGTTCTTTCAAATGTGTGGAAATTGTGTGCAAAGTTGTCTTCATTCCCTAAGTCCTTGCTTGAGCTACTGTGACTCTGGCTTTATGTTAACTTTGTCTTTCTGCAGTTCTTGGTCCTAGGACCAGTGTGCTTCTCTTATCTGTAGTGATTGATTTCCAAAAGGCTCAGTAAACTTTGTAGTTTCCCTTGGACATTGATTTATAAGAGCAGTGAGATGCTCCTGAGAGAATTTAACTTCTCTCGTACCCTGTTCTGATGAAGTTCGTGCTCTGTCTTTATAGTGAAAGAAGTGAAATGTCTTTGTGGAATTCTATTTTAATGTAGATCCTCGTGGCCACTATTGCATTTCTCTTGCCGAGTGCTGAATACTCCTCAGTGGAAGCAGATAAAAAGGTACGTTGCTGAAAAGAGCAGCCTCTGTCCCTTCTGTTTGCTGTTGGAGATGGTTATTGAATGAAATTGCTTTAAGTTTGGGTGAATTTAATAGAATATACCTAAAGTCTGTGTTACATGGTTTTGTTCAGTTCATAGTTTCACTGCTACTCTGCCTGTTGGATTGGTGTATGGCACTGCCCATGAAAATGCTGCTGGAGCCCGTGTCTGCTGGTGCTCTTGAAGATCAACATGCATCTAAAGCTCCTTTACTTGACTACATTTACAGAGTGAGTATGAGGGATGAATGCGATTCCCTCACAGACCCTGTTGGGCACAAAGCATTTTTCACAAGTGGTAGAAACTCCTGAATTCTCACAGTGTGAGCAGAAGCTGTCCAGATGAGAAGTGGAGAATGCAAAACGTTATGGTGGTAAGATCAGAGATGTAGAACAGACAGAGGATGGTGAAGAGAGAAAAGTAAAATGCTTAAAACAATGAGCCAGGGAAAATAATCTTTGCAGAAATACTTCCATTACTTGAACTGGACTGTTAAAACACAAAGTGAGTCCTGCAGAGAGCTGTTCAGTACAAAATCAGTGCTGAAGAAGAGTGTTATTTTAAAAACACAGTATTTAGACATGAATGTTCACTTGTACAACTGACAGTGAACGTGTGTAAGGGGGTGCTGCAGTGTCCCCTTTATTGCCCCTCAGTCCGTGCCTGTGTGCTGTAGGTTCTGCACTGCTGTGTGAATGGCTCCAGCACCTACACCCAGCAGAGCCACTATGTGCTCAGCCTGGCAGACCTCTCCTCCAGCGACTACGACCCATTCCTGCCGCTGGGGAACGTCAGGAGCTCGGAGCCAGCCCAGTGCCACTCCTCCACGGACCTGGGCAACCTGCTCACTGTCGCCGAGGGTAAGAGCTTAGTGTGATGAGGACCAGCACGTCAGCCCTCAGCAGCTAGGGGATGGAGCTTCCCAGGGGACAGCTCTTCCTGGAAAATGTGCTGTTTCCTTTCGGTTTATGCATGTACTTCTGTGAGGGCTGGAGCAGCTCTGCTCTGGAGCCAGGCTGAGAGAGCTGGGCTGGGGCAGCTGGAGAAGAGAAGGCTCCCGAAGGGGACACCTTAGAGCAGCTCCAGTGCCTAAAGGGGCTCCAGGAGACCTGGAGAGGGGCTTTGGACAAGGGATGTAGGGACAGGCCAAGGGGAATGGCTTTAACCTGCCAGAGGGGAGATTGAGATGAGCTCTTGGGCAGAAGCTCTTCCCTGTGAGGGTGCTGAGGCGCTGGCACAGGGTGCCCAGAGGAGCTGTGGCTGCCCCATCCCTGGCAGTGTTCAAGGTCAGGTTGGACACAGGGGCTTGGAGCAACCTGCTCTAGTGGAAGGTGTCCCTGCCCGTGGCAGGGGTTGGAGCTGGAGGAGCTTTAAGGTCCCTTGTACCCAAACCTGTCTGGGATTTTTATGATTCTCTAACAACTAAGGCAAGCTTCTGCAATAGGAACAGAAATTCTCAGATGCTCTATTGGAATTGTCTCCTGCTGCTCCCCATCCATCTGTGATGTTTTCATTGCTTTAGAAAAAAGGAGGAGGAATTTAGAGCTGATCCCTCTGACAGCACGGATGGTCATGACTCACCTGGTGAATCACCTGAGCCACTACCCGCTCAGCGGGGGCCCTGCCATCCTGCACAGCCTCCTCATGTGGAGTCCTCTGAGCTGTCCTCGGAAGTCTTCCGGAGCCCCAACCTGCAGCTCTTCGTGTTCAATGACAGTACTCTTATATCCTACCTCCAAATCCCCACAGAG